GACTGGCTGGAGGCAGAGGAGTGGTGGGAGGCACTAGCTGGGGAAGCCCAAGGGACACCCCAGAGGAGGAAGGCTCAGAGCCAGGAGATTGGTGGTGGGACACCAAGGAGAGGTCAGAGGAGAAGAGTGGGGGGAGAAGTTGTTGAATGCTGAAGAGGCAATGGGATTTAGTGAGCAAGGAGAGCCTGTGGCAGGGGGAGTTCAGACTCATAGGCTGAAGCAGATGGAGGGTGAGGAGGGGCTGCAGAAGAATCTCAGGAGATTTATCTCTCCTTCTCCCCTTGCCCCTTGTCTCCAAGGACGTGCAGGATGGGGCATAGAGCAGAACAGAGAGTACAGGTGCCCAGGCTGCTTCGGAAACATCCATTAGGGGAAGAGCCTTAGCGCTGGCAGAAGGAGGGCACCACCAGTCCTGGTAACTGCTCTATAGGGGCAAGACTTGCTCGGAAGTGATGCTGAGTTGTATGCCGTTCGTTCTTTGACTAAAGAGTTAACTTCTCTGACAAACTCTGCTTCTTTCTTGTGGACCTGCGTCTGACTCCAGCCCTGACACACATATGTACTTCGTTCACAAATGCACTTTTGGAAGACTGCTCAGTAGATCTGCTAAAAACAATGTAGATTGTTGTAGACCTGCTCTCCATTTTTATTAGGACCACTATACACTAACAGAGCCCCAAATTTAACAAAGGGTTCTGCTTTAAGTGTAATCTACCTGCCACAGTATTTTTCGGTAGACTGCACTCCTTATGAAAAGACGTTCAGGCATATGACAGTGAGCCTGTTATTGCAGTTCTGCTCCAACAGCAAAGTCACAAGAAGTCTCCAGGGCAAAAGAAGGGGAAATAGGTGCTTATATGTTTTTCTATAAAATGTCAGAAAGCTGCAACAGAAGCTGTTCATTCCTCATTTAAAAAGCGTGCAAAGAAGTGAAGGAATGACATAAACAGAGTCACCTTTCCTCACACTGATGCCTTGAAGAGGTGCGCAACTGAGAGGAAAGATGTGGTCTCTGCCCCCCATAAAAAACCCAAACAGTTTATTATTCTTTGTGCAAGAAAAAGCAAGAGTGAAATGCCCTTAATATTCTCTATCATTCACAAGTTCCGATCCAGCAATGTCTTAGTCATCAATCCTATGCATTCTATTTACTCACTTCAGTGTGACTTACTCCCAAGTAAATGTGCCTAGGACTGCAGCTTTACTAACTTATTGGGGTTCTAAACACAAAATCTGTTTGCAGAAAAATTATCGGGGAGGGATGCGGGCAAGTGGATTGTTTTCAAAGCCACCAAATTTATCTAATCTTTTCCTCCAAGCCACTGAATCTAGTGGCCATTGCCACAACTTCTGTCAGGGTGACTCATAACTTAGTGATGCAAGCAGGAAGTTTCTTCTTTCTTGTCTGTCCTGGCAGCTAATACCAATCAATTTCATGTGACACTTACGAAACATGTGTGATTGATTGATTATTGATTATTTCATTTCTAGGCTCAAGGTATGTGGCCCTTCCTCAGGCTGCCCACAGCTGTGTCCCGTTCAGCTTCACTCTCCAAATCCAGTTCCAGGCGCAGGAAGTTTGTTGAATTTCCCTGGGGGTCCAGAGGATGGTGAAAGGGCCCTTCTCCACTCACAGCTCTTTCTGCACCCTCTGTCCTCTCCTCCTTCTCCAGCGCTCTCTCTCTCTCTCTGTGTGTGTGTGTGTGTGTGTGTGTGTGTGTGTGTGAGAATTGTATCTCTACTCATCATTCAGTTACCCACTTTTTCTTTAAAGTGTTCGGTGTGGTGGGTGCCCCTCTTTGGTGCCAATGAGGGGTAACAATCATTTTAAACTTCTCAGAAATTAACAGCCAAGGCTACAATCGAATGAAGAAGAGGAAGGAGCCACAAAATCAAGGAGTGGCTTTTCTGGGAGCTCTGCACAGATACCCTCTTGAAATTCTCCACCCTATTTGTGGGCAAGAGATATGGGGGGGGGGCATTTGACCATGTTGCTCAAGAGGGAAGAGCAGCACATATCAGCATCCCATTGAGCTCTCGAGTTCCTCGTTTAAATTGCTTTGGTTTTTATTAATTGGATGGTTGGATTGTTTCATGGTCTAGCTTTGTTATGGATATTTATATTTTCATGTTTTGATAGGATTGTTTAATTGTATACTTCAATTAGAGCAGGTTTTTCTATTCTAATGTTTGTGTCCCTAGTTTTTATTCATTGTTAGACCACTTAGAAGCCTATTTTGGCATCAAGTATTATATATTTCATCAGCACTGCCACTCATATTGCTGAACAGCCAAGATGACTTACAGTTGAAAATGTTTCACTGGATCATTTTAAATGTGTTTGTGGGATTTGGGGAGGGGCGATACTGGTTTGCTTTGTTCTTGTTCTTATTATGTATTTTGTGTTTTATTTTTCTATTTTTATGCTGTGAACCACCCTGAGATCTTTGGGTGAAGGGTGGTATACAAATTTAATAAATAAATAAAACCAATAATAAAATCCTGTCCCAAATTAAAATAAAAGCACTGACAGGATGGCTTTAGGGCCATAAGGTTATGAGAAACTCCTATGGCAGCCTGACGCTGACTAACTAGGAAAGAGATGAGGCTGCCCTTTGGAAATGTTCTGTAGTCTGGTAAAAAACATTGAACAAAACACCATTAGGACCCAGGGACATTTCAAGATTACTTTAATTTTAATTTAAAACAAAAAACAAGCACCCACCGCCCAAGAGTTAGAATGCAGGCATGTGGGGAAAACAAGCCACATGAACATTAAGAAACATAAACAATCATTGGGGAATAAGTATGCAATATTCCAGGAAGGAAAGATAATTATTGCAGAAAAATACACCACTTGTCATCCCCCCCCCAAGCCACACGGCCCTTCTATTTTCATTTTAGAGCCAATTGTAATGGAAAGATCGGCTGTGGAGATAGTATTCTATGGTTTTTACCCTAAGAGATGCAGCATTCCATAAACCTCAATTTAGAAAACCTTTCCATGAAGTAAACATTTTTAGGCTTCAAGAAGCTTTCATCCTGATCCTTCCTGACAACAGCTCACGAGTTCACCACTTCCTTTCTCTCTCCTCCTAGGAGGCTGGGAAAAGGCGCTGGTGGGATCTGAAGGGAAGCCAAGTTACAGGGAACCAGGCAGAGGGCCGCCTTGGTAGTGGCGCCTTCCCTGTGGAACACCCTCCCACCAGATGTCAAAGAGAACAACAACTACCAGTCTTTTAGAAGACATCTGAAGGCAGCCCTGTTTTGGGAAGCTTTTAATGCTTGATGTATTATAGTATTTTAAAATTCTTTTGGAAGCCGCCCAGAGTGGCTGGGGAAGCCCAGCCAGATGGGCGGGGTATAAATAATAAATTATTATTATTATAATATTATTATTATTAGGATCCAGAATGCATGGACCAGGTTCCACAGGGCTGCTTCTTAAAGGGAAGCTGCAGGAGCCAGTGCTACTGTGCTTGAGGGAGAGGGAAACAGGGAGCCTGGGAGAAGCAGCGTCTGGTCTGAAGAATCAAATTGGCAGCTCTTTCCCTTCTCAGGGAGGAGAGAAGCAGGCAAAACAGGAGTGGACTACATATGTAGGCTTTGTCTAAAAGTGAAAAATCTTCTCTAGGAAGCATGCAAACATTAAACAGAAAGCAGAATTCGAAGCACAAGAAAAACACAGCAACAAAGATCCAGCAAGAGCCCCATCAGTTCCACCCAGCTGGTGAGCCATAGCAGACCCGAGAACGCAGGAGGGAGGGAGGGAGTCCAGGCCAAAGGAGTTGCTCCTGACACTGCTTTTTCACCCCAGAAGCTGCTTCCAGACAGTGGGCAGTTTTCAAACATCACAAGCCACACTCTGGAAAAGGCTAATTATGGATAACAACCTTGTTTCGTAAAGCAGGCATTGCTTGGCAGGGGGTTGGACTCGATGGCCCTTGTGGTCTCTTCCAACTCTGTGATTCTATGATTCTATGATTCTATGATTCTCATTGGCCAGGGGGGGTGGGCATTTTAGTGCAAAACCTCTAGAGGCTGGGGAAGTCTATCCTATTCTCTCATTATTGTGCCTTATATACACACACAGCTGTATTGTGGTCCATATACCCAAAATACACAGTACAACATAGTGTATATCAACAGTTTTCAAAAATTAAAAATATTTATATAGAGACAAATTCTAAAGTGATTTTCACAGTAAATGAGTACTGGCTTTATGTATACAGGTTATCACACCTAAGAAGGTATGGACATTTATTATTATTCCTATATAGTAAATATACCACAGTGATGGTTTGATACAAGCAGCAATTCACAGGATTCACTCAACTGTTCTTTCTCGTGACAGAAAGCTTCGGCTTATTTTAGTCACTCCATGGACTAAATGTCAGCGCAAGAGGGTAGATTTTCCAATTACTTTTGTCCTGACAGAATCGCACCTCCCTTCTTCATTGAGCAGAATTGTCTGCCACCTGTCTGGGTCAGATGTTCCATATGTCTGTGAGAAAGAAGGCACGCCAGGCTGCTTCTTCCTGGACCACTTTGTCATTTGGAAGGAATATCCTAATGAAAAGCTCAGTGAAAAGGGGGAAAAGAGGGTGAATAAAGAGGAGTGAGTGTGGGGAGGTCCTTTCCCCTGACAGGAAGGGCAGCACCAGGAAAGGGGGCGGGAAAAGCCTCTGGCCTCATCCTGGCACCCAGGGACATACACTGCATCTTCTGCGTTAAAAGTCGCTGGGGGATGTGCTCTTGGGAGGGGGGGATGGAATCAACCAAAGAAATGAATGCAAGAAATCAAGATACTTACTCTGAGGTGGGGGAATCTTCGTGAAACGAGAAATGCTGCTGGCCACTAGTTTCCTTTCTGCCTCACTTCCCCAAAGGGCATAATATCGGAGGTCCTGCAGGAGGAAAGAGCGTCTCAGAGTCAGGGGCCAGTCTGGACCAAAGCGGTCCTGTGCAAAGGGAAGTGAAAGCAGAGGACATACCTCTTTGTCCTCCTCCTTTTCTGCGCCCCCAAGAACAGCCTCCATTATCCTATGCAGGATAGCACTGACCATATCGCAGCTGAAACTGGAGAGAGGAAGGGAAGGGATTAGATGCTGCCTCCTCCAAGTTTCCCCCTTCTTCCTCCTGCCTGCTTTTGCCCACCTGGAGCTCCCCCTGGAGTTCTGCCCCCACGCCCCACAACCCCACCCACCCCAAAGACCCCACTCACCTCAGCTGAAGGAGGGCTTCCAGGGCCAGGCTCAGGGGCAGATCCAAGGGGCCAAAGATGTGCTGGAAGAGAGCAGAGGAGGAAAGTCAGCTCCTTCCGGGGGTCTCCAGATGGACCTGGGGTTGGATCTGTGCATCTTTTGACTAGCTGCCCCCCCCCAGCCCATTCCTGCCCTCCTCTGTCCCAAAAAGGAGGGCCACTTGCTCACCTGATGCCACGGGCTGCTCCAGGCCTTGCAGGGGGCCAGCCTGTTGCTGCGGCTGATCAGGCATCTTAAGCACCTGAACCTAGAAGAGATGAGCAGAGAGAGCGACTCAGAAGCCGACACCCCCAATTCTTGGGGGGGGGGAGGAGGGGCGTCTGACCCAATTCCATCCATCTCTCCGCAGTTCAGTGACCTGAAAGGGCATCACCAGAGCTGGAAAGAGGCAGCCCAGAGCACGAAGGGCTGGCAGAGAGAGAGGCCCCAAGTGCTCTGGGTTCAAGAGCTCCAGCCCAAAGGAAAGAAAAACATTGCCAGCTGTTAAAGAGCTGCTCTGCCTCATCTTCTCAGGACAGCCCTGCCCTTTCTGGAGCGAGAGGAGACCCCCAGGAGGGGCCTCCAAGCCTCAAGGTGTCCCAGAAGAGGAGCAGAACATGAGGAAGAGGGTGGAGTCTTCCTTGGAGCCAGAGAGACCCCCAGGAAGGGGGAGAAGGCCGAGGTCGTAGGGCAGCTAGAGAGATGCAAAATGGAGCCAGGCAGAGGTGTGGTGGTTGGAGGGCTGGACTAGGACACGGGAGAGCAGGGTTTGAATCCGCACACAGCCATGCAGCTCCCTGGTGGACCTTGGGCCAGCCTAGCCTACTTGGCAGGGCTGCTGTGAAGACAACAATTGGTGGCAGGGAGAACCACGAAGGCCACCTTGAGCTCCTGGGAGGAAAGTGGGCTAGGAATGTCCTCTTAAATGTAAATGATGAGAGGGGTGACATGCAGCGGTAAATTAATGCCGAGTCTTCTTCATAAACAGAATAAAACCTTTACTTGAGAAAATAAAGTTGTTCATAAACAGCATAGTCAAAGAGCATACACAGAGTGCTCAGAGCAGCTATCTGACTCTTCACAGAGACATAGTCTCTGATTAAGTGGCGTCCTGGAGCCACTCTGCCTGCAACAACACACTCAGGCACCATATTCTACTACTGCCAAGTGAGGCTCAGAGAGACTGGCTACTATTTATAGGGAGAAAAGAGTCATCACCCAAGATGAGTGACTTAGCAGGTTGCTTAACAGCTTGAATGGTTGTGTAGGCCTTGCCTTACTTCTTCTGCTCTCAAGAACCTTTGTCTCATGACAAGGGGAGAGAAAAGGGGAAGGCAGGGAGAGAGGGTGGAGGAGCTGAGCTCTCTGGAGAAGACTGGCCAGGTGGATTTCCAGAGAGCTAAGGCTGTGCAGGGGACCCCAGGAGACCAAGAGAAAGGGAAGGAATCTTACTGCACATCTTGTTCATGAAAAATTCCCACCCTCTCTAAACTGGCTAACTATCTAAAATGCCCACCCAAGCCTAACTCTCACCCCAACCCTAAGCCTAAGCCTAACCCCCACCCTAACCCTACACTTACCCCTAACTACTACTCTATGCCAAAATAAATATATACAAGATATATATACAAATATATACAAGACCTTGCTACCCCACTGCCAGGACCTCCATACACGCTGCTTGCGCCCCAGGAAGGTCGCTCTGGCGCTGCAAACACAGCAATCTAAAGAGCCAGTCAATTTCCTTCTAAGCATCTCACATCTGCTGGGACCTAAAGCAGCAAGGGACCTCTGGCCCATCAACACTTAATTTAGAGTGGCATTTAAAAGCATCCTTACTTCGGGATTTCATTTAGGTGTGGGAGCTTACTTTGCCCAGCAAGTAAACAGGCAAGGGAGGTGGCTGAGGAAAGGAAGGAAGGTCTATGGAAAGGAAGAGGAAGCAGGAAGAGTTGGGGTTGCGCTGGCCTTGAGGAAGAGAGAGAACAAACACAGGGAAAGGGGGAAAGAAACCAGGCTGGAGAAGACCTAAATGGAGGGAGTCAAGCGGGGGGGGGGGGGGGGAGAGAGAGAGAGAGAGAGATGCAGCAAGGTCAGCTGGGAAGAGGAAAGGAAGTTTGGACTAGCACTTGCCTACCCATGCTCATGCCCATGAATACTGGCGGAGGAAAGGGGGGCAGGGGGAGCGCACCACCCCTGCACCATCGGGGAGGGGGGTAGCATCACGGCTGCCACCTCGGTCACACGCCGTGCACCCCCTCACCACGCCGGGTGGCACGCCCCGGGATGCACCACACGCCCCCGGAACACGTGCCAGCCATGCCCCCACCTGCTCTCCACCCCCGGTGTCATGCAGCTTCGCCACTGTGCCCATTATCTGCCCAGCATCTCATCACAAATAGCGGAAGGGCACAAAAGAAAGCAAGAGTGTAAAACTATTACTTTTTAAACATTATTTTTCCATTTCTGAAAAATACTTGCAACAAACACTCTCCATATACCCCACCCCCAAACGTTCCATTTAACAGTGAGGAATTATTAACCCCAGCTTATTTTCTGGACAACCTAAATTCTGCCATTTATGACATGCAGACCTGGGCATTTTAACACACCTTAAAAAAAAATCAGCTTGCCTGACCCTGGGGCTGAGGCACCTCTTCCTGTGATTTGTGTAATTGCCAATTACCAATTAATAGAAATACAGTAAGTGACAATGCCTTTTGTACTTCCTTCCCTATTATATAGGGATGGATCTGTCTTGTCTTTCATCTTTTTCATCATCATCCAAGGGTGGTCCTGCAGAAAACGTTGTCAATCAAAAAGTGGAATGTGAATCTATTAAATAAACATTCCTTCTAGCAGCACATCAGGGAGAGGACTAGAGGAGAATGTCTTCCCAAGAGGCATTTGTGTTTCATCTGTTGAGATTTTTATTATTATGGCTACATAGGGAGCATTAAAAATGTTGTCCTTTGTCTGCAGAGTGATGGAAGAATTCTACCATATGATTTCGCTGAATGTATAGTTCCGCTATTGCATCTCTTCCTTGGCTCTTCCCAAGTAGCCTAACTAGTGGATCCAGTCTAAAAAGCCCTCTACTCTTTCCTTTTCTACTTCTTTTTTAAAAATTTGGATGAGGTTATCTGTGCTTTCTCCATATTTGTCCACTTCACAAACAGTACAAGGAACTGGGACCAAGAATGGCCACAGAAGATCAGTGCTGCTGCCAAGGATTCCCTTCCAGTTTTATAATCCACCTTCTAAAGGTTAACCTGGTGTGTGTCCAGAGGCGAGAGTTGGTTCTTACATAGAAATCCATTAATCATGGCAGAACCTCCTGCTGCACAAGCAAATGAAGATATATTTCTAAGCACTGTGTGCAGCGTGTGAGAATTAATTATAGTTTTATGTTACTAAAGTTGGCCAAAGCCTCAAGCTTCATACTGTGAAAATTAACAGTAGGTTCTTTTCTTACAGCTGCTTCAAGTGGAATTCTTACAGATGTTTCCAGCAAGAAAAAATCAGAGTAAGTTACAGCTTGTGCTGTGTAATTATCTGAAGCAGTTCCTCTGTCGCTTCAGCTCTGCTATTAGGAACAAGAAACTTTACTTTGTGGCTATCATTCAGTAGGCACCTATAACTGTTTTACAGACATCTTTTTATAGACTGAATTACTTGCTTTTGCTCCACTTGAGTATGTAGAAAGGATTCCCTCCCCCAATAAGTAGACACACACACAAACATTGTTGTTATTAAATGTGGGGAGACTGGGATAAAACTTCTGGAGGGATAGCCCCACCATTTAAGAGAATAAACTCAATAGGGCAAGTCTCCCACGGAGCAAAAGACTCCCAGGAAAAATTGTCTTGGGGAAGCAAACATGACTGCCCTCAATATTTAACTGACGGCAGTCATTTCCCCCACTGTACAATTCTCCCTGAGAGCAGCAGAGCATCATCAAGTCCTGTCATTCCCAGGGGAATCTGCAGTATTGCATGGAAAGTATGTGGTGGCAAGGAGTCTTGCACCCAAGCCGTTTCAAGCTCTGAGTGACCAGATTAGCTCAAGTTCAAGTTTTATTGCGGCAGAAGCCAGTGACACTAAACACCACAAGATCAAACAACAAGAAATCAACAACAACATCAGGAAAAAAAGAAGGATTACACAAGGGAACTTCGCAGTGTGGCATTCAACAGAGGAGATTTACGCTTCCTGATTACTAAAGTGCAAAATTTGGCCACCTCATATGATATTCATAGAATCATAGAATCATAAAATCATAGAGTTGGAAGAGACCACAAGGGCCATCGAGTCCAACCCCCTGCCAAGCAGGAAACACCATCAGAGCACTCCTGACATATGGTTGTCAAGCCTCTGCTTAAAGACCTCCAAAGAAGGAGACTCCACCACACTCCTTGGCAGCAAATTCCACTGTCGAACAGCTCTTACTGTCAGGAAGTTCTTCCTAATGTTTAGGTGGAATCTTCTTTCTTGTAGTTTGGATCCATTGCTCCGTGTCCGCTTCTCTGGAGCAGCAGAAAACAGCCTTTCTCCCTCCTCTATGTGACATCCTTTTATATATTTGTACATGGCTATCATATCACCCCGTAACCTCCTCTTCTCCAGGCTAAACATGCCCAGCTCCCTTAGCCGTTCCTCATAAGGCATCGTTTCCAGGCCTTTGACCATTTTGGTTGCCCTCCTCTGGACACGTTCGAGTTTGTCAGTGTCCTTCTTGAACTGTGGTGCCCAGAACTGGACACAGTACTCCAGGTGAGGTCTGACCAGAGCAGAATATAGTGGCACTATTACTTCCCTTGATCTAGATGCTATACTCCTATTGATGAGGCCCAGAATTGCATTGGCTTTTTTAGCTGCCGCGTCACATTGTTGGCTCATGTCAAGTTTGTGGTCAACCAAGACTCCTAGATCCTTTTCACATGTACTGCTCTCAAGCCAGGTGTCCCCCATCTTGTATTTGTGCCTCTCATTTTTTTTGCCCAAGTGCAATACTTTACATTTCTCCCTGTTAAAATTCATCTTGTTTGTTTTGGCCCAGTTCTCTAATCTGTCAAGGTCGTTTTGAAGTGTGATCCTGTCCTCTGGGGTGTTAGTCACCCCTCCCAGTTTGGTGTCATCTGCAAATTTGATCAGGATGCCCTTGAGTCCATCATCCAAGTCGTTGATAAAGATGTTGAATAAGACCGGGCCCAAGACAGAACCCTGTGGCACCCCACTAGTCACTCTTCTCCAGGATGAAGAGGAACCAT